GCACTACCGCTCTCGCAAACACCATCCCCAGCGCTGCGCTGCGTCGTCCATCCCCAGCGCTGCGCCACGTCGTCCATCCCCAGCGCAGCGCCATGTCGTCCATCCCCAGCGCTGCGGCACATTGATTGGCGCCATCGCGTTCTTCAGCGTTGCGCCTTGTCCTCCGCTGTTTGAACAGCGAACCCACGCGCGCTCGCCAACCCCATGGTGATCACCTCCCACGCCGCTTTCTGTGCAGCCCCGCTTTATGCGCAGCCCCTCATCATCTTCCGCGCTTTGTCCACCGCCGTTTGAACAGCGAACCCACGCGCAGTCGCGAACGTAATCGCGATTTCTGTGCGAACGATCCATTCTGCAGACCACATCTTCATCGGGGTGAGTACACGTTTCGTGTGTGCAGACATTCCGTGTGTGTGACGACATCTTCATCGTGTACACGGATTCGTGTAAGATGGATTTGTTGCACAGGCTTCCGTGCAAGAGGGATTCGTTGTAGAGGGATTCGTATGTGTGACTGCGCACGTTTCGTATGAATATTTGGAAGTCAATCCGTTTCGTGTGAATGCAAACATTTCGTGTGTGTATGTATGAAAACGTCTCGTCTGTGAAAACTCGAAACGTTTCGTGTAAGACGGATTCGTTGTAGAGGGATTCGTGTTAAGTGGGATTCGTTGTGTGTGCACGCATGATCTGCGCACGTTCGAGCGGTCTTCTGTATGTGATTCCTTGTGTGTGCATGCTCGCTTGCTCGCTTGTGTCAGGAGTCGCATCGTCTGTATGTGTTTATTTTTTTGTTCCTGCAATGTGTGGAATCGTGTGAGCGTATGTAGCATGACTTGTTTGATGGCCATACAGCGCTGAACCCACGTGGTTCCTCCAGGGAATCATTGATGGAATCCATGGCCAACCATCCCACGCAACCGGTGGATCGAATGATCCACCCTCGCACGCTTCACGGCGCTATACCGGCCGCGAGTATCACGCAAGCGGTTGTCCGTTTAGTTGATAGGTGGACAGTCGACTCATACAAGCAATCAATTCACCGAACAACGCACCCTTCCATTGAAAAATCGACCGATTATCGAGCAGATCATTGCGCGTTGTTCGGTGGAGTGATTGCGCACGACTATTCACATTTGGTATGGGGCATGACTTGTTTGGTCGAGAACCCGCGAATGGCGATGATGCGAGAAGAGGTTGTGTGTGAGAACCAAGCTTTTAATCGGACGATTGTCGAGCCCACCTTTCCCGATAATAAACTTGCTCGACGGGTGCATGCCGCTTCGTTTGCGCTGATCATACACGTGCATGTATAGATAGCCTAGGTAGTGGATGGTCGGTCATCATCACAGATCTATACGTGAGCGAAGCGGCACGCACCCGTCGAGCAAGTTCGTTATCAGGAACGGTGAGCTCGACAATCGTCCGATAGATCTAAACGTGAGCGAAGCGGCACACACAACCAGTTACGCATCATCACCATCTGCGACTTTTCGACCAAATGAGAGTAGCCGCACGATACCCGCCATTCGACGACAGCAACATAGCGTAGAAAAAAGCAAACAGCCTGTCTCTTCATAGTGTGTGTTTGTCCCTTAGTGTGTGCACATACACGCCACCACATCGCCGGAGACCACGACACTCGACATCGAAAACAAGCGGTCATCGAGAACACGACCGCGCATCCATGCCGAATCCTCATCGATCTCTTTGTAGATGAACTTTTGTTCGGCATTGAACCTTGTTCGGCACTGAGCCTTGTTGCATATCGAACCAACCCTGGTCGACATCAAACCTTGGCCGACATCGAACCTTGTTCGACATCGAACCTTGTTCGACATCGAACGAACCTAGTTCGACATGGAACCTCGGCACGCCACGACCAGCACAGGACGGGTGGAAGAATAAGATCGTCGGAATCCGAACTTCACGTTTTATCTAAGGCGGACGACCGAAGAAGTCCGCCTGCATCCGAACTTTCGCGTTCGGCTTACCCTTCATCCGATGTTCGCGCGCCGCCAGCGGAGGCAACTGGAGAAGTCCGCCCGCATCCGATCTTCAGTGGTTGGTCTGTACTGTTTCCAATGCTCGAGCACCGGTTGCGGCTGCTTACTGATGAAGTCCGCCCTAATCCGAACTTCGAAGACTGTCGTGCTCTCTATCCAGTGCTCGAGCACCGGCTGCGAGCGAACGACCGAAGAAGTCCGCCCGCATCCGAATCTTCGCGTCCGGCTTACGCTTCATCCAATGTTCGTGCGCCTCCAGCGGAGGCCACTGGAGAAGTCCGCCCGCATCCGATCTTCATTGGTTGGCCTGCACTGTTCCCAATGCTCGAGCACCGGCTGCGGGTGCTTACTGTTAAAGTCCGCCCTAATCCGAACTTCAATGACTGTCGTGCTCTCTATCCAATGCTGGAGCACCGGCTGCGGGTGCTTAGTGACGAAGTCCGCCCGAATCCGAACTTCAACTTCGCGTGTTTTATGCTTGGGAGCAGAGCAGGGCAGTCGGCGACGTTCGGATGAGGAATACGGAGGTTCAGCCGCCTCGAGTGCCACTACGTCAGGTCGTTGCCACGAACTTGGGGAGGCTCGCAGAAACAAGAGTTGCTGGACTACGCCCGTCACTGCCCGTTCCTAGAGCAATACCCGCTCCGTTGCCCCGGGAATTCTCCACAAGCTGTGTTATACTGTTGTGTGCAGCTGACTGTGTCCGGATCCGATTTCGCCAGGGTTCTATGTGTTGCCACCTCGAATAAGAGTAGGAAACTCGTCGATGCAGTTGTGCTTGTGTCACGCAACGAGGTGGTAATCGAGGGGTCCAAATTTGAGCCGGCGCGAGGGCCTGAACGTGTGGATCGGTGACCCGATTTGGCGATCGCAGGGCAGGTCCAAAACTTTGCTTTGTGGCATGAGGTGGAAGAAAAAGTGTCTTACATAGGGGACTGTATAGGAAATTCCTTAGCACGACCGGGAGTTTTCGTCAGGATGAAATACATGTCCGTCTTTTCGGAGAGCGCATCAGTCGATGAACCGTAGATCCGCATGTACGGATCATCAATGAATGCGTTGTATGGTTTCGGTTCACGACCACGTCCCCGGGGACCCCCGAACGTCACCGGGTCTGGACGGGCAATTAGACCTTGAGTTTAAGCGAGAAAGTATGAGATGCTAGTGCGCTGCCGAAAATGGCAGATGTGAAGTAGTGTTGACAGGTGCGAGACGCTGCAGTTGCTACTCGACGATATGCCGCGCACTCGTCGTGAAAATCCCTGGTTTTCGTTCAGTACAACAACCACCGACTCAAGGGTCGTATGTCTCTGACGCCGTTCCTTTCCAAATCGAACCCCGCTGAAGTTCGGATCCCGGCGAACTTCGCCTTCCGATAGTCACTCGCGTGGCCCGCCGCACCCGAGCTTCAATGACGACCTTCGCCATCGTTGGGCTGTTAGACCGTGTCCGCGCACTGCAACTGTAGACTGGATGGTGCTGTGTGACAGTTCGAGTGTCGTTGGATAGCCGCACTTGCCCCACATCGACAATACGTGAGGGTCTGATGCCGAAACCGCCGACACCACCGACAACACATGACTGTCATTATCTACGCAATCGTTCAGGTTCGGTTTCCAACAACCGCCCTTAGTTTAGCAGCACAGCGGGATCAGGGCAGACTTCGTAGTTCGGATGCGGACGGACTTCTTCGGGCCACACACGTGTGTTGTTTGGAGGGGGTGCCTCGATGGCTGCGGCGCTTGAAGTCCGCCAAGATCCGGACGTCGGAAAATCCAGTCTCCTCAGCGGAACAGGCCTTGCACTGCCGAACGGCTTCCCGACCGCCTTCAAGGTGTGCCGAACAGTCGGCGGTAGTCGTTGCGGACTGCCAAACGCACTCTTGTGGTACCTCCGTTTCTGGCCTTCTTGTTGGATCTGGGTAAGTGTTGAACAAAGTTTCGCACTCCACAAACAGAGCCCCCCCCCCGCCCCCCCACGGGTCCGAAGGGTTATCAGTTGTTCGGGCAGTCCTTCGGGATGCTGAATGGCAATTGAGTGCGCAGGTGCTCCTGGCTCGGGCGGTCCGCACTCCTTGCGAGCCTCTCGGTTGTCATGGGCGACTTGTGAAGTTCGCCGGCATCCAAACTTCCTCGGTTTGTACCGCGACGTAGTCGTTCCTTCCGTTTCGATATGAGGTCCTGGAGCCCCGGCGTCTTCTGATTACGGATGTTGGGCATATTTCTTCAAGAACGTGCCTTCGACCACTTCTCCACCGCCCCTTGCATGCGTCCACACATCCTGAGCATATACCGAAGTCCGCCTGTATCCGCGTTTCGTCAATGTCTTAGCCAGATCATTCTTCGACGTTGTCGCTCCCCCTTCGTCTTGTGTTCAAGACTATGGCGCTCGACAATGTGCCGGCGGGAACTCCCCAAAAGGACCTTTTTTCGTGTCAAGGCATCCTGCCGTGCAGCGCACTTATTAGTCGACAAAAGTTCGCCGATATCCGAACATCGCACAGGGGTTCTCCATTTGAACACCGTCGCTATTCTGCCCCTTGCGTGCGGTCAACTAGGGCGCGCGGAGAGCTGTTCTCTGTTCAGAACATTTCCTGGCGCTGTGTAGGCGATGACGTCCGGAGGACGTCTTCACCCTCCGCTCCACGGCAACGCACCTCCGCTTAGAGACTGTTGTGTTTACTACACGCCAGGAATTTTGTTTTTCTGTGTCGCGTCATGGCTAGTCCGCCGGCATCTGAACTTCTATGTTGTGCTGATTGTTTGTGCGTTCCGTGTTTCCCGATGTTTCTTTCGTTTGGGCTAGTGCAGACAGAATGTCTACATCAAGGGGCGAGGAACAGCCTACCGGGACCTCGGGAAGGGAATCGACGACCAAAAAGTCGTGGTCCGATCATATGCGCGCGAAATGGTATGTTGATTGGTGCTGCGAGGATGAGAACGACCCCACGAGAGCGCCGTGCGGTCCGGTTCTATTCGTGAAAGATAGTAGATGCCGGAGAGTGCTTGGTTCGGTTGAGGGATGGCAAGCGGCTAGGAGTCACGACAAGATGTATTTCAAGCTGCACGCGGTTTATAATTCGAAGGGCGGCATCGTGGCTGCTTTCAAAGGGGCGGCCCTATCGTGGGATCTGTTCCAGGGGTTTGGTGCAGGGGCCTTAAGGACCCCTTTCTACACAGACCTTGCGGCTGAAGGTCTTGTTTCCGCTAGGGAGTTCTTCAACTTGTTGGAAAAGAGAGACGTCCACCTTGATGAACCCTGCCAGATCTCATGCGACCTGGCGCTCTCGCAGCCTGTGCAGATGTGCATCGGGTTCGAGTCAAGCGGTGCTCCTTCCGAGGGAGGAGATTTGGGTTTCGGTTCTTCATTCCAACTCCACCGTGGGGAGGAACGTGGTCGCTTCGACGACAGCGACGGGGAAGAAGAGGAGAGGACGTCGGGTTCCCCGGTTAGAGAGGGAGACTGTAGGGTGCTGAGCATTCCGCGGGTTGAGATAAGAACACCGGTCCAGGAGCGGCCCTCGACGTCAGCCGGGGGTCACACAATGGGGTCGGGGGGGAGGCCTGCCGGTGTCTTGTCCAGTGGAGGGGCATGTGGGCGCTGTGAGTCACAAACGCCCATCCTCGGCGCAGATTCAGCCCCTGTCCGTCCCTGTGCAGCAGACGGGTCCGATCGACGTCGATGCGGCATATTTCCTCGAATGGAAAGACGTCGTGCGCACAAAGCGCGAGATACCCGTTAACCCGTCGCAAGTCGTCGACATCGGGGAGTGGGAAGCGGGGTACAACCAGCGTTCCTTGGATCCGGTGCATACACAGCTGATCATCGATGCGATGACGACGGCCTACTCGCAGGCCTCGAAGACTTACGGGCTGCCCACACTACTGAGGCTGGCGCCATTGGGGCTGGAGAAACCGAAGCCGTGGGTGCGTGCACAGCGTATGAAGCCCGAGAACTGGAAGGACGAGCTGGCGGGCCAATACTATTACTACGCTGTTGTCGGCCAGCATAACGTGGCCGCCGCCAGGACACTGCTTGGCACAGACGTGGCGGTGAGGTACAACTTCGAGAGGTGGCCTGCGCGAATGGTGTACTTCTCCGACGCGGACTTTGAAGGGTATTTTCTGGTGAGTGCCGAGGATAACAAGAAGGACCTGAAGGCGCCTCCCAGACAGCAGAAACTGTCGATGACGGACATCCGGTGGTGCTGGAAGGAAAAGGGTTACCCCAGAGTTGTTATGGGGAACCCGAGCGGGAAACAGGCTCAGGTGGAGTCTTGGCGCTGGTTTTGTGAAGATGCGCTTCAAAAGATGCCGTACAATCATTTGTGGACACTCGCTGACGACAAGACCGAGCAGGGCATAAGTAAGCAGAACGCTGCCCTTCGATCTTATTTCCCGCTTGCGATGGCCGGGGAGAGCCTGTGGAAAATGGGAATGGAATTTTTCAAGAAATGGGAGACGGGCAGACTGTTGGCGCCCGAAGGGGCAAAGTGGATCGCGAAGAAGAAGAAGGTGAAGGGCGTCAAGGGCGGTGTGAGCCACATCGAGAATGATAAGACCGGGCGAAAGGAGGTCGTCTACAACATCCCCGTCGAAGCGCGTCAAAAGAAAGGAAAAAAAGAAAAGGAATCCGGCGACTGGTTCGTCCAAGTCAACGAGCTGGATCTGCACTGCTGGAAAAGCATGGAAGCCCTCACGGACAATGAGAAATGTCGGCTGCTGAAGAAGGTTCTCAACTGCGAGGTGGTGTGGGTGCAGACCGACTCCTCTTTGTTGGCAAAGCAAGGGAAGCTGGGGATGCAAGAGGCAGTGCATCTGGTGAAGTGCGACCGCATCTTGGTGCGGTTATGGAACTACTACCAGTTCAAGTATGAGAATCGGCCCGACTCCGAGTGGACGCGTTCGTATCCCTTCCTGCGGAAAAGAGAGGCGATTTTGGCGCAGTTCAAAAGTCAGGGACTGGATGCAGCATTGTGGGACGGAAGCAAGAAACTCGTTGGAGACTCATCGTTGTTCAGAGACTGTCCCCCGTTCATGGGCTGCGAGGACGACAAGTCGATCAAGGCGACAGAAAAACTGGTTCTCGACAAGAAGTTGTCCATCGACTGGAAGAACAAGGTCCTTTCCATGCTGACCTGCAGCAGGTCGAAGAGCATGGATGTCGCGCTCGCCGAAGGCATGATGCATATTCGGTGGCAGGACTCGGGGGATGTGACATCCATCGCCCCCTTCGGCGTCGATCCTCTGGAGGCGCAGATGAAGGTCGTCGAGTTGGAGAAAGCGGTTGGGATCACGAAATGTCACACTGCCGTTCTTGATTTGTGCGAGCTTGTGGACATCACACAGTGGACACAACAAGCTTTCGAGATTTTGAATGCCCTTCTAGAACTTTTGTTCCCTTCGCACTGAACGGTCGTTGCTTTCGTCCCCCGGGAGCACGACTACTACTTCATGACCAGTCTGTGCCATATGTCCGTTGTCAAGGCAATGGCAGGAAAGTGGGTGAGGAGGCCGCAGTAGAAGAAAAGCTTCGCGGTCGGCAACAACTTGTACTCAATGGACGACCGCATGTACATCCTCTTCAAAGGTGACGACTTGCGGGATAACACGTCTGTTGTTTACGACACGAGGTTGGAGGCGGGTGATGCTGCTGCTGTGGGGGCACATGTCAAAGTCACATCGATTGACGTCTCGGAGATGCCGTTCGAGCCTTCTGAATGGCCCCTGGTCATACCTGTCCGAGACCGCAAAGCTTACAAGGACATGGAATGGAACCCCGCACAGTTGGCCCATCTGCTGGAATTCGTGTGCAAAAAGGGGGAGGGTGTCATGTTTCTCAGGAAGGCGCATGCGCAAGTCGTGTGGGAGGCTTTGAAGGGCGGTCGCAACATCATCGCGTTGGAGGGGAATTCGGAGTTGCTGCAATACACGTTGAATTTCCTGAAAGGCGTGGTCAACTAGGGAGCCCACCGCTGCGAGTTCTTTTCGAGGACGGACAAACCGCGACGCGCTTGGGAGCCGTCCACAGACATGAGGAAAAGGTACAGGATATATGAGTTCCGCTTCCTGGAGACGCGTCCCAGGAGGGACAGTGACCCTGAGTATATTCGACGCAGGGAGCCCATGTGGACAACTACCACAAGGCCTCGCGTTTGAATGCGAAGAACTTTCTGGACCGGCTGGAGTGTTTGTACTTTGTCGAGTCAGAGCAGGAGCTCCGAGTCGCAAGTTACAGTGCATTGATTGACACAGACGAAGAGGCAACGACCGGAGTCGTTTTCGACACGAATGTTCCGGAGGAGGATAGCGACACCAAGGAATTCGCCCTGAATTACCTCCCTGCTCCTGTTCTTCCGCCCCCGGGCTCCTCGACGGCAGGTGCATCGTCAACCCAGGCCACTCCAGCGACGCCCGTTCGCAGGTCCACCCTCGGCAAGACCCCCAGCAAGCTGTTGGCGAAACTCACACCCCGTACTGTTGCCCCGCCTCGCTTGCGTCCAGGGAGTGCAGTCCTGCCGGAACATCCTTCTTGGAAGGATGAGTCCATTCACTTTGAAGGGCACGACCACACTCGTTCCAGTGAAGCAGACTGGGGTCAAGACATGATTTGGCACCCGGGAACGATCCAGCCTGCAATCCGCGAAGGGGAGTGGATCATGGCCGTCGTGGACTCGGCTGGGCAGTGGGAGCCATGCTCGCGCCTTCCCAAGTCCGAGTACTTGCAACTCGCAAGCAGTGGTGTGGCGGATAAAGTGGCGTCAGAGAACCCCCATTTCCAGGCCACCGACCCGGCCATCGTTAAACACGCTGATCGTTTGTTTCTGGAGCTTCAAGACAAGGGGTGGTTGGAACTCTCGGACGAGTTTTACGACTTCGACACGAGCCCTTCGAAGGGAAGCGTGGACTTGAAGGTCCCCCCTGCGACGGGATCGCAGGGGAGTGCGGGAGGGGGACCTCCAGGCCCTCCGGGCGGTGGAGGGGGTGGGGGAAGCGGCAAGGGGACAGGAGAGGGCGCCGCATCAGGGGGATCGGTTGGCACTCACGACCAGGGCAGAACAGTGGAAAGCGGCGGCCGGGTCGGGTTGTTGAACGTTGCTGACAAGACGACCGTCGGGGCCAGCAAATCGGCTAAGTTCGCCGACATCCGAACTTCTCAGAACGTGGAGCCGCTGCCTTTGGACGCTGCGAAGTCTGTCAGCGTCCGCGTTGCATCCACTAAACATTGGTCGGCCCTCCCCTCGATGACTGAATTCGCCGCTTCCGTTGGCACCGGGAGAGGCTTGAGTGCCGGTGTTCCGATCACCGGCGTCAAGTACAAGTCCGCCGCTATCCGGACGAAGCCTCCTGAGGTACACGATGGGGAGCCCGTCCTGCGCAGCGCCACAGGAGCAGAAGTGTCGGAAATGGGTGCTAAAACGAAGTTCGTCGGAATCCGCACTTCGGTTTCGTCCGGTGCGATGTCCGACGACTTTCCTACGCAGCAGGGGACTGCATCGGCCGTCGGAGACGGGCAGCCTGCTGAGTTCAATGCACGGTTGGATAGCGGGGCGCCGTCTGTGCTCTGCAATTTGAACTCCGTCGGTATCCGAACTTGCTGGGGAACGGACCTGCAGTCAGAGGTCGTCGGGTGGGCGGAAGATGAGACGTGTGCGGGGGCAGAGCACTTGTCGACGGGAGTCGACGCGGGGCCGGTGGGAGGAGCTGATATGCGCGAGAGGGATGGGGGGGAGGAATGGGTACAAGTGGAGGACGGCCAAGAAGAACTTGAATGGAAAGAAGGTGGGGAAGGAGCGGAAGGGGAGGACGAACGGTCGGAGGGTGGAGAAGATGCTAACTGCGGTGACGTCGACAACGAAGCGAAGACGATGGAAATGGAGACTCAGGTGGGAATTGGCCTTTCCGCAGACCCGGATGCCTGTGACGTGCACCCGCTGGTGGCGGCAGTGCATCTCTGGGACGTATGCGACGAGGTCACCATGGCACTGGGCCGGACGAAAACGACTCATCGATCGGACATCAACGACGTCACTGATTGCAAACTCCGCGAACAACAGGCCATAACAACTCCGTCCACGCCTACAAAAACCGTCGGGCGCGTCGACACCGATCATTCCTCGGGCGCCGACTTGGAGGCCTCGTCGCCCTTCTCTCCAACAGTAGCAGACACCTTCCCTGGCACAGCGGATGGCGGGGTTGCCGGCTGCCAGCATCTGACGTCCCCGAAAAAAAGCAGGGTGGCCACTCAGCCTCTCGCGGTGCTTGCCTTACCCGCGCCCCGGACGCCGATGAAGGAACGGAGGGAGAAACCAGCTGGTAAGCGTTAATGATCTTCGCCACGTCTGCACGTTTACGTCTCTAGAGTGCCAACGATGTCAGTCGGCCATCCTGTCGTTGATAAGAGGACAAGTTCCGCCTTCCCATGGACGGTAGCGAAGACGGAGGTCTGTGCGCCCACAGAAGAGGATTGTCGATATGGCGCAGTTCTCGCTGCGCCAAAATTCGAGCCCTGAGGGGCACACACAGATCAACTGGTGTTGGCCTCGACACAACAAGTGTGGATATCGGCGGACTACAACATTGGGTCCTTTCGGTACGGCACACCTGCCTTGTCCGCGTCGTCTGGAGTGTGTTGTTCTTTCGTCGGTAGGACAGGTCGTTGTGGTCCGCCGGTATCCGCACTACCATTGTCAACGGTATGAGGAGAGTTGGCACATGGTTAAGTACGGATTCCAGCGGACTTTCATCCGCGACCGGCACACAGAGACTGACATCGTCACCCTTCCGCAATACTAGTGCAGATACCGGCGGACCAAACAACCCCTGCCGAGAAGATAAAACAACCCTTCTATCTGCTGGTTGTTTAAGTCCGCCGGTGTCCGCGCTTCTATTATGGGTGCGTGATGTGCTTACTCTCTGATACTCCGCCGGCATCCGCACATGCGCAAGTGCCGGCTTTCCGTCTCCCGCCGACACTGGTCATGACGACGCCGGCGGTGTACAAAACACAGACCTTCTGGTGGTCCGATCTTTTTAATGCGCCGATATCCTCGCTTCCAGTGTCAGGTCCGGACGTGGTTGGTCGGTGTCTGCGTGTTGTGGCTTCTAGTCCGCTGGAATCCGGACTTCGTCGTTTGTCGGCTTCCATACTGTTTGGCCTGATGTTTTCTTGCTTCGAGTTGTGCATGGGACTCAGGCTCGACTGGGCTCCTCGTCTTCGTGCCCAAAGGCTCACATGGTCCTCGCTGAACCCGACCATTTGATGACAAACTCCACTGGTTGGAGAGGCCATCATCTGCATGGCTATATCAATATTTTACTTTTTAACTTTCATCGAATCGTATATTCATTTCGGGTTCTGTCTTTCTTTTGTTTTACAGGAGTAGGGTCGACTCGGAAACGGAGGTCCTCCATTTTCTCGAAATATCCAGCACGAATATTGCAGAAAGTCCCCGGGTTCATAACAAGACACAAGAATATGTTAAAGGCATTAGGGGTTGATGTCGAGACTGGGGAGAAGGACCATGCCGAGGCCATTGATGAATGTCTTTCCCTTCTGCCTCCGGAGAAGGGAACGTACCCGCGATCTGTGACTAGGGGTCAGGCCATGTATGAAAAATACTTAGTAGAGCATCGCGCGATGAGGGACCATCTTTAGAACACCATTTCTCACAACCCGGCGTGTGCATTGGTCGATGATGTGCAGTTGACGCCAGAGCACGTGGAGCCTGCGGGGGGATTTTCGATAACGCGATTGCGCCTCGAGTCTTGACGATTATGGGTGACATATCCCGAGGCTTGGTGCCACCTCATCATGTTCTATCTACTTTCGGTGATGGTCAAGTGAGAATCACAGCTAAAGATCTGCTCACCGTCTTGCTTGTCGATGGGAAGCTCAACGATGAGGTGGTGAATTTCTACATGGCGCTTTTGCGGTCGACTGCATGCATGACACGTCAAACATCATCAGGCCTTCGAGTCTTCAGCTTCAGTTCTTTCTTCTTCAGTAAGCTGCAACATCATGGACACAGTGGGGTAGAAAGGTGGGCTAAGAATGTAGATCTGCTTCATTTCGATATGATCTTCGTTCCGGTGCATAAAGACAATGATCACTGGATCCTCCTTTCCATCAATTTGAGGGACAATGTCTTCGAGATTTCCGACTCCTATCCTCGCGTTATAGCAGATTCGCGTTTCTACCTTAGTGTTTTCGAGTTGATTGTACAGTACTTAGAACGTCATACCTCACACGGCCGGTCGCCTAGGAGTTGGGAGTCTATGGGGGGAACGTTGATGTGGAAGGAGTTCCGAGACAAGTTGACGGAGCTAGTTGCGGGGTGTCCATGTTGACGTTTGCAACGCTGTTGCAACGCGGTGATCGACCACCTTTCAGGTTCTCTTCTGAAGATATACCTGTAATTAGACGACAATTGGCAACATGTCTTTTGGAACACCATTGTCTTTGATTGATTTCCATGACTTATGTACATTTTTTTGACTATATTTCATTCAATGGCGATTGTTTTTGCTTAGACATGACATTACTCCACTGCCTTTCTCAGTGCAACTTCGTTCTCTTTTATTCGCTCAATTTCGAGTTCTGTTTAGGATGATCGCTGTCTGTATGGTGGCATTTGTAGTCTTTGTCATCTGCATCTTTTCTCGTGCGGTGGGACAAATTCTTGTTGCGTTCTTTTCTTCGAATTTCACATATAAGAACTTACAGTGTGCATAACAATTGAAATCAGATGATATCCGAATTTCTTGTGCGGTTTAATAAATTGGTGTGTCCATGCATAGCAACTCGCGATAAGTGCGTCAGTGTGCAGTTCGTTACGCGACCATCACTTGCTTTGTGATTGTCTGTAGTGCATTTAACAAATGACTTCGCGTTCATGTCTGGGACTTCTGTGAATGGCCTGCTCAAGTGCAGATGTTGCTTGCCAATATAATCAACCCCCTTCTTTGTATGCATTTCATCACATAGCGAAAAAAACCCAGATATTATCAAACATACATTGCATCACTTGAACAAAGTGCAATAGCGATGACATTCGAAAATGTATTATCCACCATGGGTTCGGTTAGGACACCACGCTCATCAAATTTCATAAGTATAACAAGTATGGATCTCAACACACTTCCGCATGTCGGCTAAGTGCCTGGGCGTGCTTGTCGCTATACTAAGTCTTTTAAAGTATAAAAGTGTTATTCAACATCGATCCGGTTGTAATGCCTTGCTCATTACATTTTTTAAGTATAAGAAGTATGGATCTCAACACACTTCTGCATGCGGGTCAATTGCCTGGGAGGATGGACAGTCGCTATACTAAGCATTGTAAAGAAGACGGAATCTCACCAAACATCCATATGAGTATTAGATGTTTCAGCCGGGAGGATGGACATGCCTACGTTACTTCGGAATAGTGGAAGCGAGTTTATCCAAGAAGGATACAATTAAGCCGCCTTGCTCATCACCATCCTAAAGAAGCACGGATCTCAGCACACTTGACGAACTTCTCCGACAAGGACACAATCAAGGGGCCTTGGTCCTCACAATTATAAACAAGTATGGATTGCAGCACGCTTCCGCATATGGGCCGAGTGGATGGGCATGCCTACATTGCTTAGGCTATAGCAAAAACTGAATTCGTTCGAAAGAGGACACAATATAATGTCTTGTTTTAACGAATAACATGTTTTGTATGTTGATGGAAAAGTTATGGCTTAGTTTCGGACGATCGTTGAAATTGATGTATATTATGATCGTTTTCTTTATAAGAATTCTGACCTTTTAAAGTAAATGGTGAGTGACGTGAAAGTCATTCAATGGGGTCTGGGAATGCTGTCGGGGCAAATACCCTGACAAGGGTATTTGTCGGGGATTTTAAACATCGAACGCTGTCCGACTTTTTTTTTGTTAAATTAAGGAACTTGATGAGACTGACGTTTGCCAAAAGTTTATTCAAAACAAACTTACGACTGAGAGACTAAATTTTTGCTTAAGTCCAAACGCCTGCGGCATGCTATAGCGGCGGTGTGGTCGGTCACCAACCGTGTTTGGCGAGTACGGAGGGGCGTACGGACGTTGGAATACTAAGTCGAACTCATATCCTATTTAAAATGATGACAGTCGCACGATTCAGAGCCTGAGTAGGCCAAAGGGGTGGCTTATCGGGCTTATTAGGCTTATCGGGCTAAGCCTCAGCTGGTTAGATGGCGGGGCGGCGGCCATTTGCCAAGGTGAGGCAGTTCGGGCCTGCCTAGTCCCGACGCTGGGTGACCTACTGGGCAGCAGCTCTTCAAATAGAAGAGTTGCGGGTATAGCTTCCATGAATAGGAGCTAGCCCAGTAGGTTATAACATCAAGCTATCACCCAACAGACACTGGGATCAAACCTGAAGGCATCGTACTGGGTTGGCTCCTTTTGGAACAGCCCACCGGAAAGGAACGTGAGGCGCGGTCGATTTTGACCGCGAGATAATCAGATCTCACGGCCGAAAACGGCCGCGCGAATAACAGCATGGCGCCTGTACATGAGGTTGGGGGGGGGAAGTGTACCTGTAGCCGTTGGCATAAGCCAACGAGTCAACGACTTTTACTATTAGTAAAAAAAAAAAAAAAAAAAAAAAAAAAAAAGATTTTGTTTAAGATTTTTCTTATTCTTTTTGTCTTATTTTGAAAGATTCCCCCCCCCTCATTCCTTTCTTATCGTGGCGCAGTTGAAGTTGCGCCTGTTCACTTTTGGAAACGGGCTGCAACTTCCAACGATACACCCGAACCTAGCGATGTTGGCAGCCGGGTGCGGGAGCGCGCTGCCGGAGGGGAAAGAAAACCCTGTAATTGCTCATGGGAAAACGAGCAACTGTTCCCTCAGCAACTGCTCAGGGAACCACCCCAACCTTGTCTGAATCTGGCTGGGGTCGTAGGCTGTATGCAGGCACAGGCAGGAAGGGGGGGATCGAAAAGCAAGAAGAGGTTGAAGGAGTTGAGTAGAGAGTGAGAGAGAGAGGGATGGGAGGATGGGAGAGAGGGGGACCTGCTCCTCCCGACCTGCCAGCTGCCTCCCCGTTGTCATGGGGGGAAGAAGAAAAAAAAAAGAAGAAAAAGAAAAGAAAAGAAAACGAAAAAACGGAATCTGAGTTTTTTCTAAAAACTGTATTTTTTAGTTTGCGCCACTATTTTTTTGGTGGCGTAAAACTTTTTTTTTTACCTTGCAATTTTTTTCTATAGATAGGCCATGCGCATGAATTATTTCAAATGTTTTTATTTAGCGAATATTTTTCTAAAAATGCTCAAAGTAGGGGTACTTTTTGCACCCTGCCCTGAGCCTGTCGGGATTTGAACTCGTGCATTTCCACGAGTTCTTTCCCTACCTCTCCCAATCTGACAACTGCCATCCCTGTTTTCAAGGGAGGGCAGGGGAGAAAAGAGGAAAAGTAGAGAGGGGAGAGAAAGGAACAGTCACGGCCGAGAATGTGGTCGTGGCCGTGCACCAAGTTTAAGCAGTATTGGCCTGAATGCAGTCATTCAGGCCAGAGCTGTGAACTAGAGGGTCAGTGAGGGGAACTTGGTTGGAAACAGTCATTTTCCCGCTGAACCTGCACTCAGTGTAGGCTGAGTGTAGGGAAAAGGGAAAAAAAAAGGGGGGCAGTTGAGTACAACTCTCACCCTAAGTGTGTGGCTGAGGTGAGACAGCCTCAGTCCGTTGATCTGACTCCGATTGACGGCCCTAGGCAAGTGACAAATTTTGCCTGGGGGCAGCTGAGGCTGCTGCTGCCCTCCTCAGCCACTACAAAAGAGGCAGCTGTCCCCTAGCTGCCTCACACTTGCCTCCAGATGCCAGTGTGCGACAGCACACTTGCCTCATCGCTGGAGTGCTGGAGAGGAGGCAGGAGTGCTGTCGGCGAAGCCGGAGGACTGCGGAGGAGCGCGACGAAGGAGGAGACAACCATTGCCTTCGCTGGAGCATTCTGCTTCACCTTGGCAGGCTGGTCTCTAGGGGGACTCTGCGGCAGCGTGGTGAGGAGCGGTAGCGGAGCATGATGAGGAGCGGCAGCGGAGCGTGGCAAGGATCGACGGGGAGCACGACAAGTGGTGGGGTTATGCTCCTGAAATACCACGGCATCGATGCGACACCTTTATTCTGAGGGGTGACGATGCCGTTTTCACAACATGTCGGCGATACTTTGTTTCGAAGAATGACGCTGCCGTTTTCACGGCACGGTAATACATCGCGGCGAAGCGCTGCCATTTTTTTTTACGGTGGTACGGCACTGCGAAGCGCCGCCTTCTTTTTACGGCAGTACGACACGACAAAGCACCGCTGTCTTTTTGCGGTGGTACGACACGGCGAAGCGCCGCCGTGTTTTTATGATGGTACGACATGGTGAAGCGCTGCCGTTTTTTTTATGGTGATACGGCACGGCGGAGCGCTGCTGTTTCTTTTTTTTACGGGGCACGGCGCGATAACGTGCTGCCATTTTCCGACGAGAATTCGACATGACCGTGGAGTTGTGGCACGACGGTGGGACGTGCGGCGCGGCAGTGTAGTTTTTTTTTTACGGCACTGAAAGTTTTTTTTTTTGTGGCGCAGCGTCTGCTTTTCTTGGTGAAGGTCTGCTACCATTGGTGTGTACGGCAACAACAGTGTGGCGACTGGGGCGGCTTATTTTTTTTAATTTTTTATGCGGCACATGAGATAAATGTTTTGTAGTTGGGACTAACGTGGGATGCGGATGACCATTTGCAACAGTTTCGACGCATGCGGTCTTGGTATTCGGCACCGGTTTTATTTTTTTGAGAAGTGTGGCGGAAGCGGTTTTTGACTCAGTCGTCATTCGACGAAGTGTTTGAAAGCGTGGGACCACCTAGAACCGCGTGGGACCATCTGGAACCGCTTAGGACCAGTTGAGACTGACGTGGTACCAGATTGAGTGTTTTTTTCTGGGACACGTGCGGCTCGCCGTTTTCATGCTTGGGTTATCGCGGATGAGGCGTGAGAGTGAAAGGCGTTTTGATCAGGATTTTCCTTGAGACTACAGCTTTCGGCGGCACACACAGCTTGTTGGTTGGCTTTCTTGAGTGAGCCAGGACGCTTCTTCAGCACCACTTCACTCAAGGTCAGTGGATGACTCAGACTCCCTTCACACCTGTGTGCACCCACACATTGCTTGACCCTTTTGCTTTGAATGTTCAAGAGAAAAGGTTGAGTTGGGTTGTGGGCGTCATGCATGAGTAAAAAGGTGGGTCTGACGTGAGTAGTGGGACTTTGCTTGTCTTCTTTTGATTGTGTTGTCTGCATGGTGTGCAGGTGATTAAAAAGACTATGTATAAAAGTGAGACAAAATGTTATTTGATAAAATGGCGGAGAATTGTCGCCTCCTTACCATTTTCCTTTCGTCGGTGAGTTGGGTGAACTTGCTTGCTGTTTCTGAAGGATAATTGATGGGTGCCGTGAGAAAAGGAAATTTGAAAACAGAAAGAAAACCCAAGCATAATGAATTTAACTTTTCTCAAGGATTGACCGCCTCTATTCTGAATGACCTTATCTGCCTATACCTGTCCAAATGATAACAGGGTCGCCTCCTTACCCTGAACTTAGAAAAAAATGGAACAATTGAAAGTTACTTGTAGTGGACATATGTTCTCTTCTCAGGAAGCATCAGGGGCAGGGGTTCGTTGCTTTCGGAGCCGACCCTGTTCTCGACCGGGAGTGGACTGTTCTACGGAGGGTTACTTTGCCGATTCGGTGGAGACGGCCTGACTTATGAGATCCGAGTCTTGTGCTCAGGCGAGGAGGAATAGTACAGCAGACCACTTCCTAGAGGGTGAGGCATGCAACACCTCAAGCAATGCACCTGATAAAGAATCATTCACAAAGCAGTCTGTCATCGAAAAGATTAGGAACGTAAGGCAACAAGTGTATGCATGTCTTATCTAAGGTTGGGGATAGGTTGAAATGAGTAACTTTGGCAGCGCATCTCATCAAGTCAAAACTAAGACAGACCGACTACCTTGTCGACTGCATTGAGGTTATTATTGAAAGTC